CTTCCTCTGCTGAGCCCACAGCAATGGTGGCCCGGCCCTCCCTGACCCCTCCCAGGGCCCCCTCATTTGCCATCTGTTAGAGGGTCAGCACAGAGGTGACCAGATATGCAAGTTGTCACCAGACAGGAAACGAACCGATGTCTGTCCCTTCATCTGATCCGAGGGTGAGCTGATCTGTGGCGTTCGTGTTGCTGGCAGGGGTGAGTCTGCGGGTGCAGGTGGGAGGAGGCTGGGAGATACAGCACATGCCTGTGTGTGTGTGTGTGTGTGTGTGTGTGTTTGTGTCTGTCTGTGGCTCTGTGCTCTAGCAGGAGAGTGAGAATAGAGGTCAATGTGTCTGGAAACCTGGCCTGTCTACGTGCTCCGTTGTCTGGGCTGTGGTTCTCCACACTGCCTTGTGCCCCTGTGGACACATCTGGGGAAGGGTGGCTGGTGTGCAGGCCTGTCTGACCCCACGTGCCTGTGTCTTAATGCTGAACCCAGGACACTGGGTACTTTGCCTCTGCATCAGGTTGCATGGTCTTCTCTTCCTGGAAGTCATTCAACTAGTGAGCAATCAGAAAGGCACCAAACCTACTCCCCTCTGCCATGTGACTTCTGTCTAGACAAGCGTGCTTGCTGTGACAAGACCAGCCTTGGTAGACTCCATAAAAGTGCTTGGCTGTCCTCCCCTATTGCCTAAGGCCCTCAGTGGCTGAACTGATGACCTCCAAGGGTAACACACGATGTCACAGAGGGCTACAGGACAGGTCAGGATCCCCAAATACAGGGCCCCCTCACAGGCTCTGCAGGGACAGGTCCACTTGAGGAAGCGGGTCCAGCTCAGTTACAGGCAGCTATGCTGCAGAGCCCCTGTGCCTAGGTCATGGAGCTGCAGGGCCTCCAGATTCATTCCAGTCACAGATGGGGACACCAAGCTCCAAGGGGAAGTATCATGCTGAGGCCACAAGCCAACGCATCCGTCACGATTACCCAATGCCTATCAAGCCTCTTTTACACACAGCCAGCATACTAGGCATTGCCAGTAAAGAACCCGAAGGTGAAGCCCTGGGTTCTGCTCTAAAGGCACCCACAATCTAGTTGAGGGGGGAGGACAGACACGGGAGCTGGTAGTTGACAGAACAGGACAAAAGCCAGAGCAGAAAGAAAGTGCTGGTGGCTTTGGGAGCCCTACAAGAAAGTTAGACAATTCTGTCCTCAGGGAACAGAGAAGGCATGGTGAGCTAAACAATGATCCCCTCAAAAGATGTCCACAGTCTACTATCTGGAACCTGTAACAATACTGCCATCTATGACACAGCAGACTGTACAGATGAGATTAAACTAAGGATCCTGAAATGGAGAGCTGATCCTGGGTTAATGCAGTCATAGGGTCCTTAGGCAGGAGGCTTACAATCTCAGAAGGAGATGTGGCAGACAGTACAAGCAGAGGCCAGAATAAATGAAAAAAATTGGAAGACTCCATGCTGTGGGAGTCACTCTGAAGATGGAGGAAGAGGCCACAAGCCAAGGAATGCAAGCAGCTCTAGGAACTGTCAAAGGCAAGGAAAAGAAATGCTCCCTGAGGCTCTGGATGGAATGCAGCCCTGTTGACACCCTGATTTCAGTCCAGAGGGACCTGTTTCTATTTCTGATTTCCAGACCTATAAGAAAACACCATCTGTGCTGTTTTAACCCATTTAAATTTGTGATGATTTGTGACAACAGGCACAGGCAACTAATATGAAGGCTTCATCAACAGTGGGGTGAAATTGGATCTGTGCTCCATCAGCGGGGGAGAGCGGTCCAGGGCAAGAGCTGGGGGTGTGGGAAAGTGAGAAAAAGTTTGGCACACCTGGCGATATGATTTGCAGGGTATGGGTTGCGGCCCTAGGCAGCTTGGGTCTTGGAGCATTGGCACTGCGTGAAGACCACCAGAGATCGACTCTGGCTGCTCTGCCTTCTTTCTGTGTGACTTAATCCTTCTCGACTGCTTTCTTCTCACCTTAAGTGAGGCTGGGGACAGAACCTTAGGGTTTGAGGGGACTGAAGACAACAACCTCTAGAAGGTCCTTAACAGAGTGGTGTGCCAGGATTGTCAGTGAGCTCTCAACAAATGCCAGCAAACACCTCACCTCTGCTCCGGGAGCAGCGTCCACCAAGGGTGGGCTCGCGAGGACTCTGTTGTCTTTATGCCCTGCGCAGTGACCTTGGTACCATTCTGTGCCCTTTCTTGAACCCCCAACCTCCAGGGATGTCTCTGTCCCAAGAACACTGAGTTTGGTTCCAGTCTCAGTAAGATGATCACTCGGCTTTTCCTAGGGTCCACTGGATGGTCTGCCCTGACTTCTAGGGCAAGTCCCGTCACGTACTCGTGCAGAGGCCAGAGACTCCTGCCTGGAGGTGAGGGCCATGGGGCACCACCCACTGTACACTGATTCAGTTGTCCAACCTGTGAGGTGGACCTTCTGTCCCCTCCCAGGGGGCACCTGCCGTCCTCATCAGAGGGCGCCCCACCTGCTTCTGGGTAGACACCATCTTTGCTGCAGCAGGGTCCTGCTTCTGTCATCCTCCCAGTCAAAGCCAGGACAACAGAACCCTGGCACTCACCACAGGAAAGGGCACACATGCCACCCTGTTGCCCCTCACCCCTCCCTGCACTGGCCTCTCAAAGGACTTAAAAATAGAACACTCAAGCAGTGCTGTGATTCCAAATCGGCTGCAACCAGGAGGTCCTGCGGTACACTGGGCCGAAGGTCAGGTATTTGGGGAAAATGACAAACAAGACCACGTCCCTGTCCTCGTGTGCTCACAGCTACATGGGCGAAAGACAGGCGAAGATATTTATTAGCCCTTTCCAAGCTGCCTTTCCACGGTAGCCCAGATTTTAAAAGGCAAAGTGACAACTACACCAGCTCCAGGCTCCAGAAGGGTCCCTTGACCCCCCAAAATGATAAGCGCTAAGCAACTGTCTAGGCAGCCTTTGCCCTGGGTTAGCTCCGGGTGACCTTCAGCTTCAGCAACCTCTCCCTCCTTGCGCAGCACAGAGGGCATGGCTGCGAGTGGGTTCAAATCCTGGAGGTAGCTGCCTCCTGCCTCTTTGATCCTGGGTGACTTAGTCATCTCTCCCAGCCTGATACTGACCTAGCCTGGAAATGGCCCCGTGTGGCTGAAAGGAGACAGCGAACAGTAGGTGCATTACACAAGCCAGGGCCAAATTCCTATCCCTTGCTACCAACGGCTAGAGCTGAGGATAAAAGACAGAGCCTTCGTTTCCCTTCTAGAAAATAAACTGTGGTCCTCCCGAACATTCTGTCTAATTGCTCATGGCTAGTGCTTCGGGGTATAAAAGAGAGGAAGGCTGGAATGATCCCCACACCTTTTAATTTTTTTAATTGGGGGTGCAGGAGACTCCAATTAGGGCCGTGGCGCCGGCAAAGGAAACAGAGCAGCGGGCCCCAGGGCTGCCCTCCTGCTGAGAGCAGGGCTCGCAGGGCACCGCAGCTGGGCACCTCCTGCAAACACCGCCTACTGTCACTCCACATTAAAGGGCCAGGCACCCGACAGGCAGGCTGGTGACAGCTGCTCTCATTAATCGTTTGCTCCCCAACTCTCTGCCTTCGGCCTTTACTTTAAAAAAGAAAACAAACAGAAAGCAATGAAGACAGCCATCGAGACAACTAGCCCAAGGCAGGACTCCCACCCCATGGCTGGCAGGCAAGTCAGGTCCAACTGGTCGTGGTGTCCACTCTGACCACCTGACTCCCACGTACTCCTCACCAGACCTTGCCCACCGGTCTGTCTGCTGCAGCCCTACTTGTTCTCCAGCTTCGGAGCCCGCCTCGCTGTCCACACAGCTGGAACGAGATTTCCTTGGAAGCAAGGCCTGAGTCTCATCCTTTCCCATGCCTTCAACAGCGTCTTCCCCTCAGTGATCTCAGGAAAGAGTACATCTGCTCACTGACTCTAGCTTACTGTATTAAGTGCACACTGACTTCACCTGAGCTAGGATCCCCAAGAGCCTTTGGTAAGACAAGGACAGTGGTATATATTTATATATGGTGCCCGCCTGTCTGCAGGGAGACACACATCACCAAAGCAATCACAACCTACATGCTGCTACAGAGGAGAATGGCTAATTCAGGCAGATGGGCCTGTAGTTGGGCTTAGAAACCAGGACTGGAGAAGTAGGAAGTCTAGATGTCTCTGTGGTTCATAATTCTTACCATGAATGAGCAAGGTTAATACTAACAACAGTGTAACCTCCACATGTGCTGCTTAAATACCCAGCCTTTACCAAGCTTGGGGTTCCTGCCAGCCTGCCGTGGGCTCCTCACGCTAGGTCACGGTTGCTGAATAAGACACTCATTGTGCAGGGAACGAAGAGATCACGGGTGGCAGCTCAGAGGAGTAAGATGCCTTATCCCACTGTCATGGGGAATGAGGGGAATTGGCCCATTCATATGGGCCAGCCAACATGTCCACCCCAACATCAGCCCTGGGAACTTCTGACCATAGTCCTGGGCCAGGGGCCTCAGCCTCCGGCAAACCTCTCTAGCCAACACAAGCTGGGGGCCTCAAAGGTCTCCATGGGGAGGGGAGGCATTTTCCAAGAGGCGGAAAAGTTCTACTGAAGAGCACATGCACACCAAAGCAGCGAGTGAGTGCGGAGACTGCAACCCGGCTACTCACTTGACAAGAGACCCTGGGCAAGTTTCCCGCCTGCATGTCCTCGTCCACACAGTGAACGGGCCAGACGGTATCTCAGGCCTCTTCTAGCTGTGACACTCTGTGTGCTCAAACCTTCTGAACTGACGGAGAAGAGGATTTACAGAACCTCTGCAATCAAAATGTACAGGCGGGACAGGCACAGAAATGACTCTCAGGCACTGATGGCGCCCTGGGCGGACACCGAGAGGACAACAGGAATGAGGGCGCCCAGCCATGTCACTGAGCTGGAAACATTTAACAAGTCTCCATCCTGGCCTCTGCCTGCATGCTGAGGGCCAGAGGCTACTTACTATGCAGCAGGACACCAGGGCTCCTTGGGCAAACCCTGCCAGGACATCACTGGGGTGGTGCTTGTGGTCAGATATGCGGGACAGTCCTGTGTAGAAGGCCATCATGATCAAGGTGAACTGCAGGAGGGGCCGGAGCAGGCGGGCACCTCTCCAGGTGAAGCGGGCCTGCAGGTACAGCTGGAGGGAGGAGACAAAAAGAACAGATGCGACGTTACTCCCCACTCACGAGCACTGTAACTCCAGCTCAGCGCACGCTCTGCTTCTGCCACACAGATGCAACCAGACTGACGCGCACTGCAATAGCATGTTCAATCTGGACCCGACCTCCGGCCAGTTACGGAATGCCAAGCCACCAGGGTCACAGCAAAAAATAAGAACAAGGGAAATGTATGTGAATGGTCTCCGCATGCCGCTTGGCACACCATAGGCACTTTAATAAATGCTGGTTTCCATTTAACGTCTCCTAGACGGAGACTACCTAGAGAAAACACTTTGTTTTACTATGGATGATGACACTCTCAACATGTGTGTGTGTTTTGCTGGCGATCAGAGATGTACATTCCCTGCACCACCTGCTTCTCACCCCTGCCACGGAATTAAAACCCATGATGATAAGAGAAAGTCATCACGACAGTCACAGCACACGGTCTACTTCAAGAGAAAGCCACTCTATCTGAGGGCAAGTTTCTAAATCACCACTAGGAATTCTGGATTTTCAACTAGCATACAAGGAAACACATAAACCAGGCAGAGACAATGCCAGGGAACTTTCAAGCAGGAATCGACAGACACCGGGCTGGGTGGGGTGCAGGAGTAACCTGGAGAAAAATGGAAGAAGGAAAAAAAAAACCACCTCTGGCTGAAGGAAAGAAGCTGAAATGACGTCAGCTGGGTATTGTCCCCTTGAAGTTATCTTGCTGCAGTTTCCGTTCTAACCTCTGGGCACAACCTACTTCCCAGGTTCCTGTGGGAACTGGGGAAATGAAGAGGAAGAGGCGAGGGGACGAGGGGAACTTCCGACTGCAAATCAAAGCACTGGGAGAGGCCGGGGAGAGGGGAAGGGAAGAGGGAGGACCGCTGGTCTCCAGAGAGCCCTGCCCTTCCTGAGACAGTGCCACCTTCCTCTGAGGGTCAGCACAGCACCAGCGGGGCCAGATGGGCAGACAGCCCTGGGCACCCTGGGCCGTGCAGGAGCAGCGCACAAGCCCTCAAGAGAACCAGGTGTGGGAACAGCAGGCGGCTGTGGCAGGGCTGAGTGTGGTGCCGGCTGAGCATGCGCGAGGCCTGGGGTGGACCCCTAGCGCAGCCCAGAAGCAGGGAAAAGAAAAGAAAAGAAAGAGAAACAGCAAGAAATGTTATAGTCATTTTGAAAGTATGTAAGTGTCTGGAGAGACAGAGAGTAACAAAAAACTAGTAAGAGGCTACATGGACACAGTTGGCTGCTACATAAATGATAAAAATCAATGTTTTCCTCATATAGACCCATTACAAATCTAAAAGCAGTGATAAAATCATCATCATAATATCAGAGAAGATTAAGTAACTGGCAGTTAACCTGGGAGAGAGACAGAGACAGAAAGAGAGTGAGAGAGACAGAGTCACACGCCACATTCCACAATGCGTGTAAAGAACACAGAAAGGAGAAGGTCTCGTTCCCACCCTCTGGAGTAACCGGGGATATGGACAAGTGTGCTAACATGTTTTACAGGATCTCGAAGTTGCGGGAAGATCAGTCCTAAGGGGGAAGGATAGTTCACTTGAACCTAAATGGGCTGGTATCTGCTGAAGTCAGGGAGACAGAGAGGGGATGGCTGAGAACTCGCCATCACCCTCCCCAGGACCTTCAACAGCTCAGCATAGCTAGAGAAGGGCACATGGGACGTGAGGCGGGAAAGGCTGCAAAGACAAGCAGGCACCTGCTCCTGGAGGACCCTGCGTGTCAAACTAAGAAACGTGGCCTTTGTCTGGTAGAGTATTTTTCCCCAACTGTATCCCATGGAGTAGTAACAGTCTTAAAAAAAAACAAAAAGATAGGTGGCTCTCTATGAAGTACTTATTTCTGTTATGTAAAGTACTTACAAGATTATTAAAGGCTTGGTAAGTTCTATAGGAGAGAAGACTTAACTGGCCTTCAATCACTGCTTGTACAGGGCATCAACCCACTGAACAAGAGGAAAATATTTCTAGAGGCAATGGTGGAAAATTAAAGGTACTTAAGCAAGGCACTGAGCACCATAAGCAACTAAACAATGTGCTTTAAGGGCTCTGAGCAGAGCTGAGTCGCTACAGGCAGTGCCAATATCAGAGGGATCCTGCAGCAACAGGCCAGAGGCTGCTACACTGCTTTCTGCTGAAACGATCTGCAGTTAAGACTCTGCCATTACGGATCAAAAGATCCCTTCCTTCTGGGAGTGGGGTGGAGATGATGTGGGTCCAGCTCCAACTCAGCACAAGTCTTTAGAGTAGTGCAAGGGCAGGAGGAGGAGAATCCGCACGCAGGGTGGAGCGGGGGTCCAGCCATGGCCGGGGGTCGGGTGGAGGGCAGGAGGAGCACAGGATTTCACGAGAAGACCCTCGCTGAGCCTCAGCTTTCTCCCAGGTAAAAGTGTCACATTTATGGACAAGGACAAGGCACAAGGTGCTACTCCATAAATAGATGACTTTATTCTTTAACCACTTAAACTATCCCCCTAATTTTTCTATTCCCCTCTCTGAAAAAGCCGCAGGTCCTCAGAAAACGTTTGCTCAACCTCCTTCCTCCCTTTCCCTGGCTGGCTGCCTGTCAACTTTAGGTCACAGGCCTCGGAATCCAGGGAGGGGCAGAGGAAGGGTGGATTTCCCAACCGGACAAGGCCACAGCTCCCCTACCACTGACTCAGAGGACTTCAGGCTAGAGCTCCACGAAAGAAACCCATACAGGAGAGGAAGAGCCCAGCATCAGAACAGCTCCAGGAAGGCTGGGGGGTTGTGTGCAGGAATGAGAAAGGAGTGGGTCCCTGGGCAAAGCCTTCCTGGGGAGAGCAGTCACGGCAGAGGCAGCCTGCTTTCCCCATCCACCAGTGCGGTGCACACTCATGCAGCGACGCTCAGGGTTAGGGTTGGCCCTGTGCCCAGAGCTGTGGCTGCAGGGAAAAGCAGCATAACAGTCAAGTTCATCTCAGGGTTAGGCAGCTCTGAGCCCAGGCTGGCCCTGTCGCTTACTCCGTAAGTGGTCCTTTAACTTCTCTATGCCTCGGTCTCCTCATCTGTGAAATAGGGAGAAATGGTATCTCCCTTAGGCTTGCCAGAATCAAAGCAGACAAAGGAGAGGACCCTGATAGGCAGAGGAGTGGCGCTCAGGTTTCAGAAATCTAGTTCACCCTTTTGTCCTGATAGATGAGATTTTCGCAGTGGTGGGGATTTCACTAGAACAAGTACATCACTGAAGAAAGAGACTGCACAATGACCGTCCATCCAGTGGCTGCGTCTGATAGCAGAAGTCAACTGCTGGCAACAGGCTTTGATGTCAACTACAGAATCTAATAATCCTCCAGCCCACACCAATCTCACTGCTAACTGAGTATGACTCTGTTGGATCACGGCTCAGTTCATGTGAACCACTCCAGGCCCGATGTCTGAGCCTCTCTGGGACCTCAGAGCGCATCCTACAGGCTGGGGACAGCCAAGCTACCACAGGTGCCATTCATGCCCAGCCAAGGAGGCAGGTACACCCTCCTCAACAGAGGAAGTAGAACACCACTGACCACAAGGAAGAGAGGCCCCCGTCCTGGCCCAAACAGCCGGGGACATTCCCAGGATCAGAAGACAAAGTGTTAAACATCCCCAAAGGGCTGCTTAGGAAGATGGTGCGCAGAGCTGGAAACACACAAAGCCTCCATCACCCTGACCTCTCCCTGCCTGCTGCTGTGCTGCCTGTAGCCACTTCCTCATGTGTGTGCAGGAAGGGCTCCAGGCCGAGGAGCCAGCACCCAGAACCCTCAGCCTAAGCATCACTGGATCTGGGATCTAGTCCTTTCCTTGCACTGCACCACGTTTTTACTTCCAGTTGCTGAAACAGAACTGTGGAAGCAATGGGGATTACAGTAAAAAGGTACGCATCTGCCTGCCCTCCTCTGAAGTGAGGGACATGAAAGTCCTCAGCAGACAGACCTCACTCCATAAATGGAGTTCTCTTCTCCCTCCCAATCCTAGCTTCAAAACTGGGGTCCTGCAGAATCGGAATCCCAACAAAGTCTCCTGAGCCTGAACCAGCTCCTCCGGTCTGAACCCGCAGAGTCAGATGTGTGGGTGAGTCACGGGCTCATTCTTGCTAAGTCATGTGTTTCGTTACATGATTTGCAAACTGGGGAAACAGGTCTGCGCTGTCTTCTCCTTTCATTTCCATTACTCTTGGGAAAATTCTGCTAAGAGTGAAAAGGAGGCTTTTGTCCTTCCTTATGTCCCTGCCTATCCTCTTCCGGGCAGCCAGCTCAGATCAATGACATACAGACAGCAGTTTTCTCCCTTCTCCAGTCTCCTCCATGGATCTCACCTGGCTCTGGTTCATGGACCTGGCAGCTCGCTGACATGACAGAAAATGAAAAATCCCCCCTGTGGAATTATCTAACCCCTTTGAGGATAAAAGAAGACTCTTTAGTTGACTCTTCTCCTCCCTTTGTAAAAAGTCAAATCTTCCGTCACTGCCAAGGGAAGGAAAGGAAGCTACCATTTTACTGAGCGTAGTTCTACACCTTGTGCTGAGTGTTTTAAATTATATTACCCACAACTCACAATAATCCTGCGAGATGGACAGCACTGTACCCACTTTACAGATGAAGAAACCAAGGCTAAAAGAGGCCATGTCACTCCCTCAAGATAACAGACAGCCAAGATTTAGTTAGAAAGTTTGCCTCTTTCTCAGTCCAGGATCTAGCTATCGCATACTTGCTCACCTCAGGGAATTACTGCTTTGTGTGCACAGTGTTGGTCCTTGGTACTGGTGTCTTCGGTCTTCAGAGAAAGTAAGCAACATGAGGGGACTGCGCAGCTGTCATGTACTAAGGGACACCTGCCAGCGACGTCTGGAGCTTCAGGCTCCTCTAGTTCACTTGTAACTTGTTTTTATAAACACTTATGTCTGAAACACAAGCATCCAGCTTTGATGGCTGTTGGAGCAGGAGAGTCTCTGGCCTGCTCTTAGGAAGGGGCATCATAAGCCAATTCTGTAGGTCACAGCACAGGTATGAACCCGTTCCTCTGTGTAACGTCCTGAATCAGGGAGCTTCTCCAATTTGTCCTCAACAACCTACTTTCCTCTTTTCTCCACAAAATGATGTCTTCAGGTGCTCACCGAGGGTCTGGCACAGAACACGTTCTCAGAAATAGATGGACAGGTGCATGAATAAATGACTGAATGAGGGAGGGAGGGAGGGAGGAAAAACTTCTGGCACAGTGATCTATTCCCTTTGGGGAAGCTTGCTCCTGTGCAGGGTTTAGCATACTCCACCAGGATCTGTGGGAATATAAGCCTCGTGGGCACAACAGTCCCCTGGTGCAGATTCCACCCATGCTGAACAAAAACCTCAATGACTAACAACCACAGCCTAGAGAACACAGCTGTCAGAGGGCAGCCACTTCCCTGTTTCCTTGGTACTCAGTAAACGCACTGATATATAAACAGTCCTCCCAGGGCAATACAGGGTTCCGTAAAGGTCCTTCCTGCACCACGTGGGCCTTAGCGATCTATCGAGTCAGTGCTAAGAAGGCAAAAGAGAATTCTGATGGGCATGGGAAGGAGCGTGGCCTTTGAGCGGTAGGTGACCTGAGACTCACTATTCACGTGTTCATCAGGTGTTCGCTAAGTGTCACATATCACGTTGGGAAGTAGAATATGGTAATGATTCAAGAGCACATCTACGACCCCAGCTATTCAGAGGGCTGAGGTGGGAGGATCACAAGCTTGAGGCCAGCCCGGGCCACTTCACAAAAACCCTGTCTCAAAACAAAACCTCAGAAAAAGCCCCGGAGATGTAGCTCACTAGCAATGAGTTTTTGCCCAGGATCCAATGCACTGAATGAACATGTGAAACGGAGGGAAAGCCAGGCTGCAAAGGGAGAAGGAAGGATCGGTACTGGAGGCTGGGACTGTCATTTTAAATAGGGTGTTCTGGGAGGCTTCTCTTAGAAGGTGACCTGAAGGCAGGGGACACAGGCACACTTCCTGTGGAAGAGCACAGTCAGTAGGGAAAAGCCTTGGCACAAACCTGAGCTGAAAAAGGAGGCGTTAGGATTGATGCTCACAAGGGCCAGTGACCAACCCTCCAGTGAGCTCTCGGCTTCCTACTTCCTCCCAGCTGTCAAAGCGGTACCGACCCAAATGCCTGCCATCCCCCAAGTTCCCAGCCTGCTTTTCTTCTGCACACAGCTCGTTCTGATCTCTCCCATCTTCACATGACTGACCCTGCTGGAAGCTTCCCTGGCTTTGGCTACCCCTGTTCCAAGTTAGCTTGGGTGCGCCTATTCAGAGCACCCATCATAACCTATTCACACCCTTGCTCCTCCTGCACAATCCACCGGACTGTTAGTATCAGCTTGCATCCCCAGCCTGAACTCTCCAAAGAGTGTGACCATTCTGTACAGGTCTCCACCTTCCCACTCCTACCAGTGCTTGAGTATAACAGCAAAAGCTGCACTAAATACCTGCCAAATGATGAAAGCCCAATGCATAGCTGAGTTCCTCAAGGGCAGAGCCCAGGGCTGACTCACCTCCACAGCCCTGGAAGACAGCAAGGAGCCTTACATGGCAGAGGAGATGCCAGGTGCGCTGCATGAATTGGTGCCTGCCCTGGTGTTGGCATTTTATCCAGACAAACACATCACCCTCTGTCCCTGCCTGCAGACATGTAGGGCCAACACAGATGCGGTCCTCTGGGGTGCTGGACAGGCTCAGAGATAGGAAGCATAGTTTATGCCTATAACTGCTGTAGGATTTTTCTTATTAGAAGCTGCATTCATCTCTAAAAAGCCTTAACCTCATCCTTACGCTTCTGTGCCCAGAGATAATTTGGTGTTTGGGGCATGGTTTTACCAAGCTACCCATTTTGGAAATCAAAACCTAATATGGAGAGCCTTTCAAAGCCATGGAGGCTGTGGACAGTGGCCACAACTGACAGGCAGACAGTGGGGATGGTGGATGCTTCTGGTCAGCTGTTGTCTTTGAACCTAACAGCAACATGGACACAAGTTTGTCCCTGATGGCTACCCATCTCTCTTTTCAGCATAGAGAACAGTTTAAATACCTGTCACATAGAAGCACAGAAACTGAGAGAGGAGTAGACCTCATCTACGTCCACTCTTTACTTTGACAGATGGGGCAAGTGGAAGCCATAGAGGAAAGTGGCAACAACTCTGCCAAACAAACATGACTGTGTCCATTTCACAGGTGAATACACTGAGGTTTTCACACTGAGAAACCCGCACAGTTCCGTGCCAGTCACTGCATGGCCAGTGTGAGTCCACGTCTCTCTAACTCTGAAGGCCAAAACTGTCAATACCACACTTAGCTGGCTCCAATATGGTTCTCCCAATGCTCTAGGGAAGCTGTTAATCACTGGCAAATTAGCAAAAGCATAGGGTGCCCCTGGGGGGAGGCTGGGCTGCTTGCACTACTCTGGTCACCCCACTTCTGGAAGTAAAAGGTAAAAGCTCTGGGGAGGGTCAAAGGGTTGTCTGACTGCTGCAGGCTTCCCTTCTCCTCTGGCAGGCAGCCACAGGGTCTCAGAAAGCCTTGGAAACCAGACAACAGACATTGGAAGGGCTGGGATTTCTGGATAAAATCACATAAAAACCAGCCCTGGTAAAGCACAGTATTTTCATTTTTGGTTCTTTGCTTCAGAGGTGGCTGTATGCATGGATGTGTGTGTGTGTGTGTGTGTGTGTGTGTGTGTGTGTGTGTGCAGAGCTCCTGTGAGTTGTGACTGTTGAAGGTGTGTATATTTGCAAGAGTGCCTAAGAGCATGTGGTGTGCACATGACCGGAAGTGGTGGCTGTGAGAGCACATCTAGAAGAGGTCGGATGAGAGAGGCTCTTCTCCCTCTTCCTTTTCTCTCTCTACCCTCAACTCCTTCCAGCAATGCAAATACACCACAATTTCCCTCCTCCCTCGGAGAAGTGTAAATACACCTTTAATCAAAATACACAACTCCTGATCATTTCCACAGGGATTTCTTGCTGCAGCTATAGCTAGTGGCGGGGGACAATGGAAGGATGAGGGGCTTGCACCATTAAAGCAGATCTGAAGAAAGGCAGGTCTCCTCCAGGTGAAATTAAAATTAGGCTCCAAGGTTTTACTCCCTACGTTTGTTCTGAGGAGGTTTTCGTTTGCTTTGTTTCTTGCAGTGTTGTCCAATAAAAAGAACAGACAATGCTAGGGTCATAAAGACCAGTCTTCCAGCACCTTTGCTGTCTCATAAGAACTTTCATTATCTAACCTCTTAGATTCAGGTTACTTCCAGAAACAAGATAGTTAAAACATTTCTCACCAGGATACTGAAAGACACAAATGCTACCATGCAAACTGGATACAGTGCTTGGTACAATGAAAGCCCCCAGGATGTGTGCCCCAAACACAGCCCTGTCCTCATCTTCTGAGCGGCTGTGAAGGAATCCTGCCCAGTGATGGCTTTAAAATAATCCCATACTTTTCTCATGGAATAAAATAAAGGGCAGGAAAGAAACAAGCACATACCCAACTCCTCTGAAGCTTTTACAAAACACTGAAATTATATTTATAAAATTGCTTCCAGCCCTGAGTAAAATATACACATGAAGCAGGACCCTAAATACCTTTGCTAAATAATCCCTTCTCAGAGCAAAACAGAACAAAAACAACAAAAATATGAAGAATGGAGGGCAATGCCACTCATGAACACGTGAGTTCCAGTTTTAAAGTTTTACAGGGTTGCGCCATCTTTTAGCTCTCTGTCTCAGGTAGCAAGAAATCAGATGCCCCCAAACTTGAAACGAGGTGGGGAGAAACCAAAACAAACAGCCTCTGTTGTTTTCTTCCAATTCTTAATTATGTTTATAGAATAAACTCAAATCAAAACACTCTTTTTTTCCAACCAGTATACTCTTCTGAGCTGCATCTGACCTCACAGCACCCTTTTGCTCTGCACTGCACCAAAGCAGCTGAAAGCAGGCAGGACCCTGGCACCCTGGCCTTGTTCGGGAGAGGAAGGCAGGGTGACCACATTCCAGCGACAAAGGGACACAGAGCAGCGCTTTTCATCAAGCAGCTGGGGAGGGGCGGGGCAGGACTGTCCACCCGCACTATCCCAGCGCCTCCAGGAAACCAGAGCAGACATAGGCAGGGAGGGCAACATGGGACCCAAGTCATGGCTCCCCACTGGTTGAAGAAACTGAAACATTCCTTACTCCCTCAGGACCGCAGTCTTTGGGTCCAGGAAATGAAGGCACAGTGTAGTTCTGAGGCCACCCACACGCCCTCAGGGATGCAGAAGCACTTTGGAAAACTCAAAATCACTCTCAGTGGTCAGATACTGAGAGTCCCTCAGGCTTTTTCATCAGCAGCGCAAGGAGGAAGACTGTGGAGGTAAATCCCGCAAGGAGCTGAACAGAGCGCTGGGACTCAGGTGACAGTTCTGGTGTTTAAGCAAGTTCAGACAATTTGCTCGGAGTCTCCAACTCTTACGTAGTAACCTTTTCCCACAACACACAGGATATTTTTTATAACACAGGTTGTTCTAAGGATCCAGTGGCTTAATGGATTTTAGAAAGCAGGGCTTGTACCACACAGTGTTATAAATACAAATGTCTTGAGCATGGCTCAATTTCAAAATCCTTATCAATCAACATAGTAAATGCTATTTTCACCTGAAAAATGAACCAAGTTGGGATTGTAAAACAACTGCTGCTAAGGCAGAGGCAGAGCTCAGAATGAAACATGTCTCCACTCAACTCTTCCTCGTGATTTCACAGTGAGGCCGATTCCTCGTTATTCTGAGGACTCAGGCTAGGAGCGGACTGTGTTGAGATTGGTACTTACCACCAAATACAGCATCGTGTACATGGAGAAGGACGCATGGCCCGAGAAGAAGGACTTCCTGCAAGAGCAAGAGAGGGCCATCAAAAGGCAGCCACCTCCCTCACACTCACTTGTCTCTCTTCCCTCCCTAGACCATTACCTTAAAAGCACATGTCCACTCCTTTTTGCATCCTAGGTGGTGCTCTGGAGACAGGCAGGCATGGGACATACCAATGCCACATCAAAATGATTTATTTACACACGTGTTACAGTCACGTGGCTGTGAGTTCTTCAGTAACAGGGAATATGCCTTAATTCACCCATCTAAACCAGAGCACACCCTTGGACCTCGGCAAGTGCTCCCGGAACTGCACTGCATCAGAGGGTGCTCCTGTGGCCATGGGGAGGTGGCAGCTCACCTGGCTTCCTGAACTTTGCTCTCGGGGCCTCTGCATTGGTAGGTCTGAATGTAGCCCTCGGAGCAGTTGATCTGGCTGAAATCCGGGTCGCAGACACTCAAGAAGTGGGGGCGCAGGCGCCCTATGGACACTTTTGCAATGTCAGTAAAAGACTGGCTGATGGCGCAGCCAAAGAGGAAGCAACCCACTTGCTTATAGAGGGCCGCCACGTAGGGGTTCTGAATCGTGGAGCGGGACTTCTCCTTCAGGTAGTAGATGCGGTAGAATTCTCCCGTGATGATCTAGAAGGAATACAATACGGGAATTAGGAATATCGAGACCCATCATCGCAACCGATGCTGCAAAGGACATTTGATGAGACAGGAGGATGTTTGGTATGAAACTACAGGTTACAATCTGTAAAGTCTCAATTCTTATTTAAGAAGGGTGCAGACACAAATAGGAATGGAAGCAGTGATCAAAGTGTTAGCATGGACACCATTTTCCTTTTTTAAAGCCCTATCTGCCTGTATAATACCTTTAGAAGAAGAAAAATGTGTGTGTGTGTATGCGTGTGTGTATAGTAAGAACTTATGTACAGGAGGGGAAAGGGGATTAAAAAGAGAACTTATATACGGGGGAAAGTAGGTGAAGAATCAAGGGTATCTGAGAAAATCTTGGGATTCTGAGATTGAGGGTGAAGAATCAGCAATAATGGCTGGATTTGCCTCAACCTTTGCGCTGACATGGAGCCTAGCTGGCAGCTTACACACCCCAGTCAGGTCCTGGGTATGAATCCAGGCTCAGCCACTTGCCTGGCCTCCTCCAGCAAGAACTCACCCTGCCCAGACCCCAGCCTCTTTCCCCATTAAAGGAGGTGGCTCACCTTAGCAGAGCTGTCAGTGCACATGTACATGTGACAGCATGGGTGGGAAATATGTGGGGTCACAGACAGGAATGCTGTGATTTCTCCTTTTAGCAGTATCGTGTGATAGAAAGAACACCTGTCTAAAAACAGGATCTTTTAGTACACTGCCCTTGGATACTGATGCACTCCTTGAGTGCCCGGTCCTCATATCCTTTTCTCCATCCCACAGTGCCTACTGCTGGCCCAAGCCCGCCTGCTTTACACTAAGCATGGGGCCAGCTGCCCCTATGTAAGGTAAACTTTGGGGACATTTACACCACAGAAGACCAGCTTCACTCTGGTGACGCACACCCATGCAGGCTATTCCCCTTCTCTTAACTCCGCGGCACAGCGAGAGCCACTTCCCGGTTGCAACCACAGCACAGGACAGCAATGGTCAATTCATTGCTCACCACAAGTCCCTTTCACACTTCCTCAAAGGGCAGGACGATGAGCCCCACTTGCCCTTTCAGTGAGCAGACAGGGTATTTGTGACCACAAAGGAAGCAATAGACAGGCACGTCCGGACCCTCCTTTGCAAAGGCTCCCGCTATTCTTTACAGTGGGAAAAGGCATCAAAGCATGGTCTTGTCAAGGTCCTCCAGGGCCCCAAACTCTGCAGATGGAATAGCAGCTGGGCCCCAAGACCCACAGGTACGGGAGTGAGACTAGCCCCTGCCACCTCGAGGCTGACGCAGGGACTTCATGTTGTTAAACGCTTTGTACGTGGATGTACCACACAGTGTTTTCCCAGATCCCATCAAGTGTGTCTCTGTATGGAGGGTCACTGTTAGAGACCAGTACAACCAGCGTCCTGGCCCAGCCACTTCTGGAGACAGCAGAACTAATGTCTGAGCCTGCACACGTGCTCCATGCCTGTCACTGAAGGAGGAAATGAAGGAAGGGGAGCAGGACAGGAGTCCTCAGAGTTGCCGCCTTGCAGAATTGGAAATATCCCTAAACATTACCAAGGGCCCTTTGATAACACATTGCAGAGATTAAAATCTAAGAAGCGTAGCAAGTTAGAAATGAAAGCACCATTATATGCAGAAGAAACTGAGGTCCAAATTAACTCACATCCAAAGATTAGACCCAGGTGTACTTACCCTCCACCCAGCATTCTTTCCTACCATTCAGGATCTAATTCCCCTTTTGAACCTGTTTATACTTTTACCCTATGTAACCTTACAGGCTAACAAGTTCCAGATGTGCAGTGCCATAATTCATGTTCTCTTACTCCTTCTTATTCTTCTTTATTTATAAATCATATTCACATGTCTTTATATGCGGGGGAAAGAACAGTGAACTAGGAGTCAAGTGGCAGCTTTGGAGTCCCACCTACTGAGTGAATTTGAGATAAGTCAGGTTCTCCATTTGCAAAATCATGGCACCAGACTCCATGATTTATTACTTCATAATTGCAATGACATTTATTCTCAACTCTCCAGTGCTACCTCTATCACTAGCTTCCCAACAAAGACCTCGTAATATGCAATGGCTTGGAAGGTGCCCTGTGAACAACACACTGGCAAAGCACAGAACCAAGGCCCCGGGCACAAGCCTCGCCCCTGGTTTGCTCCAGAGTTCCTGGAACCGTGGCACTGCGATGCGGGGACTATTTCTAAGCAGGCTTAGCTGGAGCATAATCAACATGGTTTCCCATTTGAGGCTGAGAAAGAATCCGTGGGTTTCTACTGCAAGTTCTGCAGCTCCTACATGAATTTACCGATCACTGTCACGTGAGTCACCCCTGTGCCTCAGATACTTTTGAGAAAGAGATCTGACTATGCCCCAAGGACTCTACAACTCTAACCCCATGCTCCCATCACTCTAAAACTCCCACTGTCAGTGCTGCAGTTTTCAAATAGTACAGTGTGAAATGAAGTCCTCCTTCCTCTTCTAGGAAGATGGAGGAAAACATTTTATGGCACCTCGAATTCCTAACTATGTTAATAACAGCAGTCATCCCTTACATTTCCTCCAGACTTTAGTTGCATCTAGTCTGCAACTCTGAGAAGTTATACCCATTCCATAGATGCAGAGTTCAAGCCCCCTTTGCCACAAACTTCCGAATGAAGCAGGGGCAGTGGGCAATAGCAGCGGGAAGTTGCTTATGAAGGGTACCACAGGCAAGGAGTAGGCCAAGGCCCAGGCGACACAGGTGCCCTGAAGGAGCGGAGGCCAGTAAGCGACAGGATTCAGAATCGAGTCCAGATACTCTATCCCTCAGGCTCAAAGGTCCACAGCAGGCCACATCAAGATAAGGTCATTATTTCTGCTGTTATTAGGACCATTTTCCATGGTAGAAGGGCAGTTGCACTTTCGAGGCCAGGCCCAGGCTGAAGCCATTTAGCAGACACATGACTCTGGGACCACATGGCTTCTGGGGCAGCCCTGACAGATTTTGGAGTTAATGAGCAACAAATTATGTATTTTCTTTATCCCCTTGTACAGAAGGGTCGGGGAGTCGACAACACAGCCATAAATCATCATTATGAACCAGCCAGACTTGGCTTCTTGTAATCCTAACCTTTAAAAGCCCATTTAATGAAATTTGGGCAGTGAGAGACAGCCCCAGCCCCACACCTCTCCAGGAGAGGCGAGGCTTAATTTGCTCTCTGGCGCGTTCCACACCAAACTCCGGAGTCCCAGATTTACTGTTTTCGGACTTTATTCATTACTCACAATGTTTTCATTCCTGGGTAATAAAATGAGCTCTTCCCTCTCCTGCCCCCTCCACAGGCTCTGTCCCCACCCCAGAGCCCTCCTTTCTGCCTCAGTCAGCATGGATCCCATGCGTAAATCTCACTGCTGAGTAAAAGGCCTTTGAGGTCAGTCCCTCTCTGAAGGAGCAAGCAACAGATCGACAGATTCTTGGGGTGCTGGCTGGCTGCCAGGCAAGCAGACCCTGCTCCCCTACCTGCCTTTAAAAGCGCTTGGCACGGCGTCTGGAAACTCATAAAGTGGGGAAGCATGGCAATTAAGGTACAAGGGGACAGAAGGGATCAGTCCCCGCCCCCAAGCCACAGCAGCTGGCAGGAAGTCCTCTCCAACTGGAGGCAGCGCCTCTTCCTGTCTTTTCTGCAGAAAAGGAGCTCAATTGCCCACGTTTGCAAACATTTCACAATTCCACAGAGCACGTCCGCAGGAACATTAGGATTGGAAAGGACCAGGGATAGGGTAGGAAGAAAAACACCAATTTAGGAGCTAGAGGAAAAATCTCAGTCTGATTCCCATCCATGACTTCAAGCCCAGTGACTTCACCTATGTGGGTTCAGGTGTCACCATCAATGAACTATGACTGAAAGTATCAACCTGGTGGGATTTCCCAGGATCCAGGAAAGTGATAGAGCACTGGGCATCTAGGCACCCTTCCAAGTTCATGGGCATTTTTTTCTCCTCCCACTGGAGAAGGGAAAAACAAAACAGTAAAAAATGGGCACATACTTTGTAGAAAAATATCTCCTTTACTTCCGAGAGCTCCTCAGAAAAAACACTTCAAACTGAAGAGTCTGAAAATACTACCCCTCTGGAGCACAGGCAGAAGCAGAAAACATGGGCAAGGATCACTTTGGTTTTGACCATTTCATCTAGAATGGCTTTTTAGGGGAAGAAAAATGAAAAGAAACTTGAAGCAGAAAGGTCAACCTTGCGTTACTTTTAGCATTCCACCCTATTTATAAATTACCCCCTAAAGTAATATTTTTTGTACACAATGTTCCAATCATCCTTCTTTTACAGCCAGAGAAAGCCTCTTCCCCTGCTGGGTGTGAAGGACAGACTTGCTACATTCTGACGTGCTGGAACTGTCACATTTGTATGGCACTTTATAACCAACAAAGCACCTTGCATCTCCTGTGCTGTTTCCTTGTCACAATGCCCTGTGAATTATTAAAGTATTACCAACACTTTTCAAGTGAGAATGGTGAGAGCCATCCAGGCCAGTGAGTTACCCTCAACAGAAAATGAGGCAAGGTCATCTGGCGTCATGGGCGTCATGGGCACTGAAGTCCGGGCCTCCTCTTCCTACTCCTTAGCACTTCCAATGGCACCAAGCTGGCTGTCATCGAGGCCCCAGCAGGCAGCGGTGTCTCCGTCTCCAGAGAGACAGTGAACACCTGGTAAGGGCCTGAGACCCCCCTAAGGTACCTGTATGCCTACCTCCCTGCAGCCACATAATTGTCAGTGTTTCACATTTTGGATACAGGAATGAATGATTCTCTTTCTGCCCAGAGAGATTCATTTTTCTCAATTTAGTTCTCAGTCCCAAGGAAAAGAAGATAAGGTATCTGGGTCCTGCTTCTAAGGACGGGGATAGAAGTATAGCTGTGCTTACTCCATCTACTGCAGTAAAGTGCAGTATCTGTAGTAACTAGAAATAACTAACTGGACGTT